CCTATAATCCCAGCTCCTCAGGAGGCTGAAGCAGGAGAATTGCCTGAACCCAGGAGGCGGAGGTTGCAGTGAGCTGAGATCGCGCCATTGCACTCCAGCCTGGGTAACAAGAATGAAACTCCGTCTCAAAAAAAAACAAAAAAAAAAAAAAAAAAAAACCTGGGACCCCTAGCTTTATCTCTGGGTTTGGGAACTCTATGTTTTTAACAACTACTCCAGGACATTCTGAAATGCAAGCTAATGTTTTTTTTGGAATCATCATAGTAGAAGCCTGATACATCCTGCATTCTTTTTTTTCTTTTTTGGATGGAGTCTAACTGTCACCAGACTGGAGTGCAGTGGTGTGATCTCGGCTCACAGCAACCTCTCCCTCCCGGGTTCAAGTGATTTTCCTGCCTCAGCCTCCTGAGTAGCTAGGACTACAAGTGCACACCATCACATCCGGCTAATTTTTTGTATTTTAGTAGAGATGGGGTTTCACCATATTGGCCAGGATGGTCTTGATCTCCTGACCTCGTTACTCGCCCGCCTCGGCCAAAGTGCTGGGATTACAGGAGTGAGCCAGCGTGCCCCGCCCAGCCTGTGTTTTTTACATGCTAACTTCATATATACTTTGTTCAGGATAAGGGCACTTCCTCTTTCCTTTTCATCTTGCAGATGTGGCTCCTCCTTCTCTAATTATCAAGACTTCCTTCTCCATTAGTCCTGTTACCCATTAAGTAAAGACAGTCATTCCCTTCCACATGCATCGTCCTTAGGCTGGATTGTTGACTGCCACATAAAAGCCACAAGTGGGTTTTATGGCCTCATGTATCCTTAATTAATCTGTCTTCTCAAAATTGTGTTTTAAGTGAGTGAAAACATTAGCCTCTGGTCTGATCCACAAAGCATCATTTCAGAATCTTTGCATGACTTAACTGTTGACCCAGACTGGCCTCGTGGCCCAGTGAAATGCCACAGGTCAAGGAGGGAAAGACCTGACCACTTCCTGTCACCCCTGTGGGTCACTCTGCAAAGAGCAGGTGCGAGCCAGGACAAAGCTAGACGCGTGGGTGTTATCTGTTTCTGGAAGAACTGATTGTTTTGTTTCGCCCACAGCTGTCTGTGTCCCCATCACCTTATCTGTCACCATCAGCCTGCACACCTGCATGATATTTGATGACGCGGCACACCTGCTGAAATGGAGCATTCTTCATGTTTCTGATTTGTTGTTGTCTTATGTGTACATCATGAAGCATCAGAGCCAAAATGAGATATGGCTCTCTGCCATCCCTTCCTTGTTCTTTGTTACCCTCCAGCCCCATGGTGGGGTCCTAAAGCTGAAGACCTACCAGACTGCTTCAGCCATCTCTCCAGAGGTGATTCTCTGGTGGGAGGACAAGCACAGGTGTTTTGCAAAAGCTCAGGTGATCTCAGTTCAGGTCAAGTCCTCACCACCCAGGCCAGAGTGAGAAGGTGAGCACACCTCTGGGAGAGCCCCTGATTTACTGCTCCCTGCCCCTAAGACTGGTTTTTGTTAAGTGAATGCCTGATAACCTTGCCCCTGGTTGGCACCTTTTGAAGGTGAGGACGGGCTCATGAGTACTTGGCCGTGGCCTCGGATGTCCTGTCTTACGGCAGCATAGACCGAAGCACCCCCTTTGGTGATAAGTGCTCATAGCTGCAGTTGGCCTTTGCATGACTTCAGCACTTTCCAGAAGGTGAGCCTCCCAGAAATGCATCCCAGCTTTTTCCACATGAGGAGACACTGTCTTTATGAACTGGAGAAATAAGGAGCCGATATTTTCAATCTGTAGTTAACTTAAACTCTTTCATCTTTTGGAGGGGGGTAGGCTTGTTGAGAAGAGGAAGGTCAGAGAAGAGGAAGTACCCCACCCAGACATGGCCTTTACAGCTTCTGCATCCAGGCCCCTTTGGGCCTCTCAATACTCACACAAAGGCCTGGCCGAGGCTTCCCAAAGCCCCCACCTCCCAGCTCTTTAGCTGCCTTCCTTTTTCTTCACACATTGTGCTGTTATAAATCTCTGGTAGATCATTTATTCCATCCTGTTTGTATGTTTGTCTTTGTTACAAGGAAAGAATAAATGCACTCGTTTTTACTTGCCCAGACCCTTTAGACAGAACTGCTTTGGGAGTATTCGAAAGCCATTTGAATGAGGCCAGGACTAGCTGAACTTTTTTTCTCAACAGCAGCAAATACCTCGTGTTTTAAAGGTAACAATCTAATCACATAACTAGGGCTGAGGTTGCAAGCTGGCCTTGACTTGGCCAGAAAGCACAATGGAAACAGGAGTTGGGATGAGAATGCCAGAGATGGAGGGTGTCACGGATGTCATAGCCCTGCCCTGCAGAGCTTGCCCAAGGCCAGGGCTGAAGGACAGACCCCAGTAGTGGGTGTCGTGGCCTCCCCACCGTGCTGCCCACTGCCATTAGAATCACCTGGGAGCTTTGAAAGCATCCCAGGGCCCCCAGGCCGCTCCCCAGACCAATTCAGTCAGAACCTCCCTGGTGGGACCAGGCCTCCGAAATTTTTAGTGCTCCCCAAATGCCTCCAATCTTGAGAACCACTGGGCTCAAGGAGTTTGTTTAAATAGGTAGGTTTGAAAATGAAGCTAGGAGGAATCATCTGGCTACAGCGTTTTTTGTTTTTTGTTTTTAGTAAAGGGAAATAGAATACAGCCATGCTAATTAGCACAGGTATGTGTTTGTACGTGCATAGATACTCATACCTAGACACTGCACAGAGGTGGTGGATGCCTGCATGTTTACAACAGTGTCCATATTCGTAGCTTTGGAGGAAGGTTAGATCCATAGGACTGTCTTTTTGACCCTTCCTTTGCAGACACACCCAGTTGGTCAGCAGACCCAGCTTATTCTCCCTGAAATAGAACTCTGCCCTAAAATGCTTCTTACATCTTTTCCTGTTCGTTTCCATTGCCACTGTGTTCACGTGGCCTTTTCTGCTGCCCTCTCTCAATAAAGGCCCAGCTGTCTTCTCTCCTGGGCTTCGTCCACCCTCCATTCACCACACCTGGTTGGACCCTTATGCTATTAAAACCTTTGCTGTTCTCAGGTGCTCACAATAAATGACAATAATGGTTATAGCCGACCTTTCACAAGCATTTACACGTACGTGTTGTTGACTCCTGACACCCGCTCTATGAGGCAGCACTCTTTTCCCCCTTTTACATATGGGGAAACTAAAGCACAAAGTAACTTGGACAAGGTCAGCCGGAGTCAGGTTCGACCCATGTATTCTGGCCCCCAAGCCTCTGCCACATAGGATGGGAGAGCTGCTCTGTGCTAGCAGACTTTTCACCCATTATTTCACATCTTCACATCCCTCCTGCTGGGTGGATATTATGGCTGCTATTTCATAGAATCCAGGCTGGGAGAGGTTGAGTAACTTGATCGAGGACACAGATCTAAGGAAATAACAGGGGTTCAAACGAGGTTTTCCCCCTCCACGATCTGCATTCTATCTACCTGATTCCTTGACATTGTCTAAATTCATCTGTCCTCACCCCACCTTTCCAACTTCTTTCTCCTTTCCCTTTCCCTTTCCTTTCTTCCTTTCTTTCTTTTCCTTTCCTTTTTCATTTTTCCTTTTTCCTTTCCTTTCAGCAAGATCTTGCTCTGTTGCCCAGACTGGAATGCAGTGATACAATCTTAGCTCGCTGCAACCTCCACCTCCTGGGTTCAAGCAGCTCTCTTGCCTCAGCCTCGTGAGCTGGGATTATAGTCAACCACCAGCACGCCCCACTAAATTGTGTTCTTTTAGTAGAGATGGGTTTTTGCCACGTTGGCCAGGCTGGTCTGGAACTCCTGGCCTCAAATGACCTGCCCACCTGGGCCTCCCAAAGCGTTAGGATTACAGGTATGAGCCACTGCTCTGGGCCCCAACTATTTTCTCTTCCTTGATTAAATCATGCCATCCCTCTTTTGGCCCTTTGCCTGAAGTGTTCTTCCCTGCTCAGCGAGGACCTCATTCAGCTGTTAGATCTCCCATGACAGAGGACCCTTGTCTTGCTCATAGCACCCTGCGTGGAATTGGCACATAGCAGGAGAGGGTAGCCATCTCATTTTCTTGCCACTTCAAGAAGCCCTGTAAGAATGTGTCTCCTTGTGGCCACCTTAGTGTGAGGTTTGCATCGCACATCTCACCTGCACAAAGGGACGATGAATAACTCATTCTTGGGTACATGTGTACCTTCTTGCTAGATGGCCTCTTCAGGCCAGGTGTCCTTTCTCCCTCGCTTTCCTCTTGAGTCCAGAGCATTGCCTGGCAAGCAGCAGGTGTTCAGTATATATTTGTTAAGCGCAGGGCCGACAAGAATATGAAAACCGGCGGAAATCGTAATATTAGGTTGGAGGGCACTTGGCAGGGTCATAGTGCTTAGAACAGGCAGGGGTGCATTTACCTCATGGCCTCCAGGAAATGTACATTGTTTGGAAATTTCCAGAAGGAAGCAAAGAGCAAATGATTACCCTGCTGGGCTCATTTAGCTTGCCCATTTTGCCAGCTAGGTTTTGTTAAGTTTGTTTTTATTTTGAGGCAGGGGGCAGGTAGGCTTTGCTAACCTCCTGCTGAAAATCCCCTGGCTCCTCTGTCTTCCTGCCATGGACTTTTTCCATAGTATCTATTTGGGAGTGTATGCACGCCGCAGACTTCAGGACTTTTATAGGACTTCACGGGCTGTCTGGGGTGGAGGTTTGTTGGGGGTTGAGAAACCAGTGTTTCTGGAAGAGGTAGAACCTTTCAGGATGGGAACAGGTGCCAGGAAAAGCATTGTTGCTCCTGGGAAAGTGAATTCGTTAACCGTTGAATTAGAGTTATGCTGGTAAATAAACATCTTTCTGATTCCCCAGGTTAAAAGGCATTTACACAGCTGCCTTTTTGCACCTGGTGGGGAGGCCAGGTGGGAGGGTTCCGGAGGGAAGGAGAGGCATCCCGGGCAGGCCCTTGGATTGGCTCTGACGTTTCTTGTTGCCCCCCTCAGGTGAGCGTCCTGACCACCCTGGAGCGCAGGTTCAACCTGCAGAGCGCTGACGTGGGTGTGATCGCCAGCAGCTTCGAGATCGGGAACCTGGCGCTCATTCTGTTCGTGAGCTACTTCGGGGCGCGCGGTCACCGGCCTCGCCTGATCGGCTGCGGCGGCATCGTCATGGCGCTGGGCGCGCTGCTGTCGGCACTGCCCGAGTTCCTGACCCACCAGTACAAGTACGAGGCGGGCGAGATCCGCTGGGGCGCCGAGGGCCGCGACGTCTGCGCTGCCAACGGCTCGGGCGGCGACGAGGGGCCGGACCCCGACCTCATCTGCCGCAACCGGACGGCCACCAACATGATGTACCTGCTGCTCATTGGGGCCCAGGTGCTCCTGGGCATCGGTGCTACCCCTGTGCAGCCCTTGGGGGTCTCCTACATCGACGACCACGTGCGGAGGAAGGACTCCTCGCTCTACATAGGTAGGAGCTGCCCCAGCGGCCTTGGCGAGAGGCCAGGGAGTGTTGACCATGGATAGAAGGGTGGGCCAGGCCGGGCGCGGTGGCTCACACCTGTAATCTGAGCGTTTTGAGGGCCAAGGCGGGCGGATCATGAGGTCAGGACATGAGACCATCCTGGCTAACATGGTGAAACCTCCTCTCTACTAAAAATACAAAAAAATAAAAAACATAGCTGGGCGTGGTGGCACACGCCTGTAGTCCCAGCTACTGGGGAGGCTGAGGCAGGAAAATCGCTTGAACCTGGAGGTGAGGTTGCAGTGAGCCGAGATTGCGCCACTGCACTCCAGCCTGGGGACAGAGTGAGACTCTATCTCAAAAAAAAAAAAAATGTGGGCTGATGGACTCTGACTTTGCGCCAGTCCTGGTTCTCAGACTTGGCTACACTCCGTTTGTTCTTGAAAAATACTCATGCCTGGGGGTGCAACCTGGGCGTTGAGAAGTGTTTAAACGTTCCCAGGTGATTCTCATATGCAGCCGAATTTGAGCTCCACGGGGCTAGACCACTAACACAGTTAATTCGAAAACATGGCTAGGAGGAGTTGAATGTTTATTTGCTCTTTTTTGGGTGTGTTTGGAAACTTTGCGCTTTCTCGTGTCAGCCACCAAGGTACACTTGGGGGTCTACACATTGGAAAGTCCAGATTTTAAGAATCAAAATGATGTCCTGGCTGGGGGCGGTGACTTACGCCTGTAATCCCAGCACTTGGGGAGGCCGAGGTGGGTGGATCACGAGGTCAAGAGATGGATCAAGACCATCCTGGCCAACATGGTGAAACTCCGTCTCTACTAAATATGTAAAAATTAACCAGGTGTGGTGGTGCGTGCCTGTAGTCCCAGCTACTGGGGAGACTGAGGCAGGAGAATTCTTTGCACTCCGGGGGTGGAGGTTGCATTGAGCTGACAGCGCACCATTGCATTCCAGCTTGGTGACAGAGCAAGACTTCACCTCAAAACAAAACAAAAAGTCCTGGTCATCATTGCTCCATCACAGCTCAGAAGGAGAGGTGATGGCCTTGCCAGCATTTGGCATAATTCAGGGTGGATGACTTCCGGTCATTTTTTAAAATAATGGAGGTATGCATGGGAATTGGGTATTTGGAGAGAAATAAGGTATTTGTGTTTTGAAAAGTTGTTTTCCTTGGTCATAGTTCCAATGTTTTATGCTGGAAGGATGGAAGCCACCTCTGGGTGGGGGTCAAGTAGCATCTGAGAGGCAAGTTCATGTGGCTGGCAGCGTTTTCAGTCGCCGCTGTGGGCTCTGTTGGCTGGCTGCGTGTAGGGTGAGGACTGGCCAGCCCAGCATCTCCAGCCCTTGTCTAATTTTGTCTCCTGTCAGCTGCTGTATTGTTCTGACACATCCCCAGTCACTGAGTGCTAAGCTTTGAAAAAATTACCTCTACCCAGGGAAGCTTTGTGCCTCCCCAAAGCAGCGTGCCTTGAGGTGGAAAGTTAATTATATTATGGAGGTTTGAGTGAAAATAGAATTTGAACTGAACTTGATGTAAAGGTTCCTATCTGTCAAGCTTCAAGCTTTCTGAGATAGGACAGTTTGGATGCAGGACATGCCGAACGCAGATTTTTTTCTGTGACTTTCTGGCTCAGCTTTGGAGTAGATGCATTTACTCAACATGTATGTTGTACGTGGATGTTCTGGCTGTCTGCCAGCAGGCTCTGGGCAGGAAAGGAGGAAGGAACGTTCCTGTCCGTTCAGAGGATGGAGCACCAGTGAGCCTAGTCACCAGCTACCTACGCAACAAGGTGGAAGAGAAAACAAGGCTCAGGCCAGAGATGGTTAGGAGTTGCCGCGATTGCCGGAGGGTGGGTATGGTGGAGGAAGGGAACTAAGGTAATTATTTTTCTGTCGTTGCCTTAAAGCTTGAGTGAAAGCCGCTCCCTGTGAGTTTTTGCACACCAGGAAGTGGACTACAGCATGTAGCCACAAAGGTCTCCTGAAGTCCACCCTCTGATTTGACTGATGTCACCCCAGGATTCTGGGAGAGTTGTTTTCCGGTAGCAGTAACAGGAAGTAGACAAATCGGAGCACGGGGAATGAAATGGGGGGTGAAAGCCTGAGTTGTTGTCTCTGCTGATAGAATCTAGTAGAACAATTTCTCCTCAGAATCACCCCTGAAGTCCCAACCATGCTATATCACTTCTTGGGGCTTCCAGATGTAGTGACTGAACCCTCTTTTGGAAGTATCTCCTGATGAGTTAAGCTGCGCTGTTTCCCCAGAAGGGTTGAGGTTTGGCTGGTGCCTTTACGGGAAGGAAGCACTTTGGTTTGGGACAGTGGGGTGTGGGAGGTGCAGGCATGGAAAACAGGGCTGATCCTTTGAGGAAGGAGGCCTTCTTGAATTCTGAGGCCTTATCTATGGGATTTGCATTGAGTCTTTGGTAGGAAGAATGATTCAGCCAAATTTCTGTTTGGTTACCCTGTTCCTCTATGACAAGTCTGAGTTGGGGGAGTGTCTTTTTGCATGATGTACGTACATCTTTGTAGCTTTGTTACATAGGACCAGATTCCAAAGCATCGTAGCACAGGCCATGGAGATGGTAGTTCTGAGTCTCTCTGCACTGATTTCATGGTTTGTGTTTACAGAGAGCAGGAGAGGACAAGTCTTTTGCATAGACTGGCCTCACTAGATGGCCTTTTATTCTATACATGGCTTATTTTCCAGGTACAAGGTAAGATCGTAACATATAAGCATGACCGGCTCATTAATTTATTGTACGACCTATACAAAAGTATGTGTGGTAGTGAGAATATTTCAGAGTTTATCTCCTCTAACAGGGCAGAGTATTTGGGGTAGCCCGCTGAACACAATTGATACAGACTTCTGGCCTCTTAACTCCCTGAAGAGGAGGAAAGTCTCAAGGGAAGGACGCTGGGACTGTAGGTGTAAATGTGTATCCATTGAGGAGGAAGAAGACGTGTGTCCCTGGTTCCAGCTCCTGCAGAGCTGGCCTAGAGAGGGGACCACAGCCAGCTGTCTGGTCATAGGCCTAAACTGATACTGTGATGGGGATTGAAAGGATTATAAATAAGGTGTGTGTAAAACACAAGAGTGTTCTCAAGCTGAGCCTTCCCTGTGGGTGTCAGCAGGGAAGAGAATGATCGACACGCCTGCTCCAGGCTGCAGGTCAGTGCTGATGATACCTGCCCTGGTTGCCTGCATGGTGGATCTCTAGACAGGCACTGTTTGTACATCAGTGGCCGTGTCATAGCTTCCACTACAATCCGGGGAAAAGTGAAGCATTCCATCTTGAATCAAGCTTACATTTTCCACTGAAATGACTTACTTGCTTTGGCCTCTTGTGGCTAAGCTGCTGCCAGACTCCTGGATTCCTGGATGGGCTGTTCACGAGGGGCTCCTGTGGCTGGCACTGGTCTTCGGCCAGTCCTTTCCACCGTGGGAGGGAGCCAAGGGAGCTCATTACCAGGGGACAAAACTGGATGAATGGGGACTCAGCTCTGCTGGCAGGCTTTCACCGCCGCGGCACCCAGCCTCACAGGGCAGCCAGACGGTGACCCGTGGGTGGCACGTGGCACTCTTTGTTCCTAGAGTGACAGCATGGGCAGGGTGGCAGTGGAGACCACTTGGCCCCTCCTGGGGTCCGAGAATTTGTTCTTTGGGAGTCTAGTCACGCCTGTAGCTCCATGTTGTGACCTTCCATTGGCCCACTTTTCTTAGCTGCCCTTCTGTTTCTCTCAGTTCAAAACACAGTCGTATTTGCCTTTTATGAAAGTGTGGGTAGGATGATGTGATGGACGTACTGTGCCCTTTCATTAAGTTGCCCCCTCTTCTTTCTCGGGAGGCAAAGGTGAAATAGGAGTAGTAAAGATTTCTAAATAACTTTATTCCTAGTTTAGAAACATTACATGGTCACCATTTACAATTTAGAATATGCAGAAAAAGGAAAATTAGAAAATATTTACTAGTAGCTTTATGGTACACATAATTCTAAATTTTTCTGCATTAGTATGCTTTTCTCTAAGAAAATGTGTTTATGATAAACAGTGTTTTGTAATTTCATTTCTCTTAATATTTCCTGAGCATTTCTTTGTTACTAAATACTATCCTGTGACATTATTGCTGCATATATAACATTCCTTCTGAATATGTATGATAATAGTTAATACTTTGTATAGTCGGACACAGATTTCTTAAATTTTTGTTGTTTTAAACAAAGCAGATAGGTAAACTGTGATTCTGAGAGGCTGAGTGACTTACCCAAGCTCATTTAGCTGGATAGTGCTGGGCTGTGGGACTAAAAGGGACGCTTATTCCAGGTATGTCTGGGATCTGCTCACAAGGCTGGAATGGGAGCTTAAGGGTGGTGCGAGGTCCAGGGGGTCCGGTACAGGTCAGGGCATTCCACAAGACAGCCTGAAGCCTCCTGGGCAGAAAAATCACAGCGGGAGCCAGGAAGGTGGGAAGATAGCTGCGTGTCTGGAGTCCAAGGAGAGAGGTGCTGCTGAAATGGAGAATGCATGTCAGAGCCAGAATGGAGAGTTGGAGGTAGTCTGGAGAGGAAGGTGGCCCTAGCTAGCCGTTCAGGTCTGGGTTCTGGAAGGGTGTTGTGCCTGTTTCGTAGTGCTTTGAGCTGAGATGGCAGCAAATCAGATCTTAGACATCTGGGGCAGGAGCAGCTGATCTGTTCCATCTTTTGCGCAGCTCTTTCCAGCAATGTGGACACTACACCTTCACGTGCTATTCTTTCTATTCTTGAACCACTGTAACCACTAGAATTTTTTTTTTAATGTTGTGTTAGAAATAGGCCGCCTTACAACCGGGCTCTGGTTCTGCCCTCTGGACCTACCATGAAAAATTCCTATCCCTCTTCCATATTTTGATGACTCCCCAAATAGTTGAGCACTAACCTTTCACAGGTAGGCAGGGGAGGGAGGTGGACATCTAAAGCTTAGCTCTCCTGGGGCTTGCTCCTTGCTTGATAGAGAT